ATTGTCTCAGAAAATGAATTATTTCCAGGAAGGGACTCAGACTTTTCTCGCATAACTGATTTAAAATACAAGAAGTACTTTTTTTTTTTTTTTTTTTAAATTTGCAGAGTACTTTCCTGTATTTGCAAGCTCATATTTCTTCCCTGGGAATTGTTCATAATGTTGTAGTAATAAAGTGCTTCTTTATGTTTCTTTCCTTTTCTCACTGGTCAGATACGCTTTTTGTGCTCCTGAAATCCCCTTTAACCTCATCTCTCAAAAAGAAAAAAAAAAGAGCATCAAGTAGCTATTTGAAAAGAGAGTCTGTTTTCACAGTTTTTCTCTTATAGAATATGCGATATAAATGTCTTTTCATTTTGGTGAGCAAGGGTGGGTTCTCACATCAAACCTTAGCTGCAGGAGGATTTTAGCTGTGGTTTGCTGGTGGGAGGCATGGAGCTTCTGAGTCAGGCAGACCTGGGTTTAAAGTTTCCTCAGCTGTGTGATTTTAGGGAAGTCACTTAAATTCTCTGGATCTATTTTCTCAACTGTCAAGTGGAAATGAGAAAGGAATCTCACAGGGTGCCTGTGAGGACTGAATGGGATAATGTTGATAAAGCGTTTAACACAGTGCTCAACATAGAATGGAAGCTCAGCAGCTGGTGATTGGTATTATTCTGCCTCATTGTGCCGATGGCAGTGGAGTCCGTGATCACAGCAGCAGTGGTGGGTGCAGTTGTAAGCCACCACGGTAGTGGTGATAATATTATCTCTTTCTGTATGGACATTTAATAGAACAGAGAATTAGTCTGTTTAAGGCTGCTATAACAAAATATCATAAACTGGGCAACGTATAAACAAATGTTTAGTCTCACAGGTCTGGAGGCTGGGAAGTCAAAGATTAAGACAAGGGCAGATTCATCAGGTGAGGGCCCACTTCCGGGTTCATGGCCGCCGCCGCCTTGTGGTGTCCTTGCCTGGTGGGAGGGACGAGGCAGCTCTCTGGGGCCTCTTTTATGTGGCACTAATCCCGTGTATGAGGGCTTGACCCTCCTAGAGGCCTCACCTTCTGACATTATCATCTCCATTTGATATTTGGTGATTTGGTTTCAGCGTATGGATTTTGAAGGACACCCACACTCAGACCATAGGAGATTTTTTTGTTTTCCTCCCAGATTGAAACCTTGAAACCAAATTGTGCTAGCTTTCAAAAGAGTTAGGAAGACACCGAGGGAGGTGGAACCAAGAGCAGGCAGTGTGGCGGGGCTGCGGAAGGAGAACGATGACGGGCACCACACCAGTCACTGGAGTGGACGTTTCCTGAGCCTGTGCTTGGCCAGACGTGAGGCTGAGCATTTCACAGGGACCATTTCATGAATTCCTCCCGGCAGTGTGATGAGATTGGGGCTCATTTTATTAGTGAACGGAGGCTCAGAGAGTTAGCTGCTGTCACCCAGGATGACACCTAGACCCTAGAGAGCCCCTTGGCCAGCCTCCGCCCCTGCACACTGGCCTTCCTCTTCCTTCAGTGTGGACACAGCTTCTTGGCTGCCTGTACCTGAAGGGCACCAAGGTGGAGGGGAGGCGGCATAGAGGAAACCAGGTGGGCTTGAGTTGGTCAGTGCTGAAGCTGGTGATGGGTACATGGGAGTTCAGCATACTAGCTTGTTTACCTTCGTCTGCATTAAAGACTTCACAGTAGAAACTTTAAAAACATCCTCTTTATATCTCCTTGCTTCCAAAGACCGCTGTGTTCTAACTAGCTCTGTTTTGGCTACGTGAATGAGCTGATCCTTCACCTAAATACTTTTCTCTACATTGTCTCTTTTTTTTTTTTTTTTAAAAATCTTAGAAGGTTAGCATTTGTGGTTAGAACTGGAACAAGGCTCCTTAAAAAATTTTTTAAGAACCATGGTGATTCTCAGCCATAGGAGGAGGTGGGGTGTGGGGACCTGTGGCTGGGGGTGGTTTGCAAATTACATCTGACCTAGAGATTTCCCTGCCTGTCTCTGCCAGCATTCCTCACCTCCAGCAGTCACTGTCACTCTGGGTGGGTGTTGTATCCCTCAAGTGGGGGGGGGAGGGGCTGGACAAAAGCTTGAAAAACAAACCTATCATCAGAGAAAATGTGAATAAACACCTGTTCATAATAAAATTACTGCTTTGGGTCAGCCCTGTCTGATAGAATTTTCTGTGATGACAGAAATGTTTGTGTGTGCTGGTGCAGTACAGTAGCCAATGGCCACATGAGCCTGATGAATAACTGAAACGTGGCTAGTGGGACTGAAGAATTGAATTTTATTTAATTTTATCTAATTTAAATGTAAATAGCTAAATAATGGCCTCATTGAACAGCACAGGTTTGAGTGGTTGGCGGAATGCTGGGGAAAGCCTTGTTTGGGCTTCTGAGTATAAGGAGCCATGTTCCTTGGTGGAGCAGAGGGCAGAGTCTGAGTCTCCTGCGGTTCCTTGGTGCCTTTCCCCCTTCTCTGTAAGATTCGGGAGCGGTGTGGGGAATTGGGCAATGGAAGATGAAATCACCTTCGGCCTGGGGAGTTGTGCCCCCCCCGAAAGTAAGTCTCTGCAGCTTGTTGGTGTTCTGATGCAGAATGATCCGTTCAGCTTATCAAATCAGCTTTTGTTTACACCCCAGCTTAGGGTTTTGATCTTATTTGTTATGGAAGTTGTTTCAGAGCAATCCTCCTTCGCCTGGCTGCTCATGATAACCACCTGCGAGCTTATGAACAAAATACAGATTAAAAATTACACTGGATCAGACTCTCTGGATGTTTGGCCTCAGAATATAGAATTTTTTTTTAAAGATCTCACACATACACAGACATACACACACGTATTCATACATGGTTTTTTTTTTTTTCTAAATTTCCAGACCACTGTGATACAGCTAGCTGATCCAGAAACTGGTGATTGAGATCAAGTGTTTTGCAGAATTACACTTTTAGAAATAAAAATGCGCCAGGCGCGGTGGCTCAAGCCTGTAATCCCAGCACTTTGGGAGGCCGAGACGGGAGGATCACGAGGTCAGGAGATCGAGACCATCCTGGCTAACCCGGTGAAACCCCGTCTCTACTAAAAAATACAAAAAACTAGCCGGGCGAGATGGCGGATGCCTGTAGTCCCAGCTACTCGGGAGGCTGAGGCAGGAGAATGGCATAAACCCGGGAGGCGGAGCTTGCAGTGAGCTGAGATCCGGCCACTGCACTCCAGCCTGGGCGACAGAGGGAGACTCTGTTTCAAAAAAAAAAAGAAATAAAAATACATTGTCAAGGTCATCTTTTTTTTTTTTTTTTCCAGTTTCCTTTTTACTCTTCTTCAGTGAAGTGATTTAAAAATTAAAGGGCATTATAATTAAGAGATAAGCAGTCACATGCCACATATGATGTTTTGGTCAATGATGGACCCATAAAATTCTAATACCATCGGTTTACTGCATCTTTTCTATGCTTAGATACACAAATACCACTGTGTTACAAGGCCTGCAGTATTCAGTACAGTCCCGTGCTGTACAGGTTTGTAGCGTGGGAATAGTAGGCTGTACCATACAGCCTAGGTGTGTAGTAGGCTATAATATCTAGGTTTGTATAAGTGCACTCTATGATGCTTGCACAAAGACAAAATCTCATAATGATGCATTTCTCAGAGCCTATCCCCATCGTTAAGCAATGCCTGACTGTAATTCATCTAAATGTAATTTGGTAAAGCTGTTACAAAGTAATTGAGTTAATACTTGTTTTTCTAAGGTATTT